CCAGGTGGGGGTCTGTAGACTGAGCTGAAGGGGTTCCCGCTGACAGTCGGGGCGTAGTGCATCTGAGGGGACGGGTGCTGCATGGAGGGGGTGAAGGGGTTCAGTGATACCTGGGGGTGCAGGGGGAACGGGGGCAAGCCCTGAGGATACGGCCGGGGGGGAAGAGGGGGTTTGCAGGACGATGGGGACACACCCACACCATCACTCTGGGGGGCGGAGCTGGCTAGTGTAGAGTTTTTCAGGGGGTCCAGCAGGCTGATCAGGTCTATGTTGTCCTCCTCAGGCCTGGAGGGCTTCAGCAAGTCTCCATCTGTGCTCAAGGTCAAGGCCTGTCTGAACTCCTGCCCCCCCCACGTAGACCCTCCCTCAGGTTTAGAGCGAGACTGAGCCCCAGGAGGAGCCAGGACGCCCCCTAACTCCGGGGTTTTCCTTCCGTGGGGGCGCGGGATGGTGATGTTTCCAGAGGAGGAGGAGGGGTCTAAAGGGTCCGGGGCGGGGCTGGAGGTGTCTCGGCTCGGGGAGGGGGCTTCACTCCGAACAGGAAGCTGGACAGAAGGAGGTCTGCTGCAGGACGGAGGACCAGACACAGGCAGGGAGGACTCCTCCGCTCCGACGCTCCACAGCTTGTTGTAAGACAGGTTGGAGAGTTTGAGGCCCGGAAGAGTCCGTGAGTGTTCCCCGACTGTCAGGTCCATCCGCTGAAAACACAAAACCAAAACCCTTTAGACTCCTAAAGACCAGGACACGGATTTGAACAGCTCAGAAGATCCTAGAACCTAAAAACTTACATCAAATGATCATTCATACAAAGTGCAAAGTGCAAAGTGTGATGTGTTTTTCAGCTCATGCATTAAAGCATGTGATGGGTCGTGACTGATCATGAAGCCTGATGTTCCTCTACAGTTCTGTGGGTTAAAACATTAACCCTTTCCATAGTGCAAATCCAACGCAGCGCAGATACAAAGCTCTGCCATAATTACGCTTTAAGACATTCTTATTGATTCCACAACAGCGTCTCCCAGTCTGTGAATTCACATTTCATTACGGAGTTGCAGAAGGGTGAGAGAGCACGACACAACGGGAGCTCCACATACAAACACAGCGATGTTCTGCCCACTGGCTCAGCTGATCTCGTCCCTCCAACACCCCTGAAGACAGAACAGAGGGAACGAGGGCGGGGGATCACTTTATCCCCTCTTCATGCCTCTGCAACATTCATACTAAAGGTGAAACGCCACAGGGACGTAAATATCTGACCTGGAAACGGCAGTCTGAATCAGGCTAGACCAAATAGTCAAGTGTCATTAAAAAAGATTTCTCAAACACCATCAGTTCTCCAACCTTCCCTAACTCTGCCTCTCCATCGGTCTCCCATCCTGTACCACCTGGCTCGGTTTTTTTTTTGTGTGTGTTGTAGCTAAAGCTCTTCATGAACGAGGCACATGGACCGGTTCTACCAGTGAGAAAACTGAAACAATCTATAGATAAAAAAAACATTCTCTGATCTTTACCGGTTTCTGTTAAAGAATATGAACAAAACGTTCTTGATTCATGAATCTCTGAAGAGCTCATGCAGAGTTTTTTTTTTTTTCATTTAATGATGTTCAGGTCTTCAACATGAATCCTCCTCTGAGACTGCGAACAGATTCATGGTCATCTGTGGGTTTTGTACAATTTTTATTTTCCAAACTAAAATGTATTTTTATTCAAACTGGACCTCTGGACAAAAAGCAGACCTAACACTTTCAGAATCTAAACATCTTTCTGCAGCGGGGCATTCGGACGTCTGACCTGGTAGGTGAACTTGGCCTGCAGCTCCTCCGAGTCTTTGGGGGTCCTCAGGTCCTCCAGACTTTTGGCGAGGGTCATGTGTTGGCCGTCGGGCTCGTCCTGGCAGCCAAAGATGTCCCCCAGCAGGTTGATGTTGGAGAACTTCTCGGTGACTGGACTGGGAGGAGCCGTGTGACTTTCTGCACCAAAACCGGGATCATCAGCTTCCATTAACTCCACCTCCTTCAGGGAGCGGTACGGCTGAGGCCTGCAGCAACAAACAAGGTTTCACTTTCTGTTTCCTTCGATATATTTTCATAGATTAATTTATCTCGGTAGCTTTCATGGATATAGTATCTGTCTGCTATCCAGCTGTCATGTAGCTGTAACAGTAAACGTGGAAGTGACCTATATATGCTTTGCTGAGGCTGAAGAAATCCTAACGTCTGACATTATCAGGTAAAGGTCATGACCTCTTTGGAACCAATTAGAAGTGTTGCCAAACATGCTGACAGATTATAAGCAAGACTGTTAACGTGAGAACTCAGTCACATGAGATGTTATTGCTTGTACTTTGCTCGAGCTGCGATCACCTGTGGTCTGCATTGTTGTGTTAGCATGCTAATGTTAGCGCTCTTTAGTTAGCTCGTAGCTTCACATTGCATGTAAACTGACACAGAATGAGCGTGATCTAAAAACTCTTACTAACATCCAAATAATCAGTGAGTATGTTCTTCTTCTTCTTCTCTCTAGTCCTTGACTAAAACAGCTTTTATACACAAGGCTGTGCCATTCATGTAAACACGACTCTGACAACAACACAGCCAGCGGGACTCAAGCTTCTCACTCATTGTAGACAGTCATGACTCAGACACATTTACACAGGATAGACTGGATTTATGATATATTTATGTGTCACACAATCTTCCTTTAACCCTCTCGTCAGCGTCTGCACACGGACCACATTATCCTGTGAAACATGTGCAGACGTGTTAAATCAGAAAGAGAAGAGGAAGAGTTATAAAAGGTTTTGAAAGGAGCGACAGAGCTGCGTACAGAGGCGACCACTCGAAGGGGGCGGAGAAGAGAAAGCTGTCGGGCAAAGCAGAGATGGATTCGTCGTCGTACTGGAGCTCGTCTCCGGACGAATCCTCCGAGAGAAAGACGGTGTAGTGACGAGTGGGACGGAGAGAGCTACAGACAGGAGAGGAAGACACAAAGATTCACACACACACGTGTTAATCAAGAAGATTAGAATAAAGGAAAGGTGGGAAATAAGAAGAGATTCAGGGTGAGTAAGAACAGAAGTTCCTTTGTTATATAAGGATTTATTTTATTACATGCTTTGATTAGTTGTTTAAGATTGAGTCTCAAAGGAAGCTGTGCAGTTAGGTCAAACAGGAAGTTGTTATTTTGGACAAACAAACCAACAAATAAAATCTTACTGGCAGAGATAAACGGGAACAAGAGCAGAAATCTTATCAGGACCGACAAGAAAACAAGATTCTAGACGTTTCAAAGGTGACTATGTGCGTCTTGTAATGTCTCTTACTCTCGTCCTGTCATCGTTTATCTGAACATGTAGGTTGAAATGTGTTATTCTGGATGTAAAGGAGGAGGGGCTTACTGGTCGACGCTGCTCTCCAGACTCACGTTACTGCTCGGCCTCTTCAGCAACATCGGAGGACGAGCCTGAAGAAGTGAGAAAATAATCACTTATAGTCTGTCAGCGTTAAAGGCACAGTGTGTAAACTCCACCACCAGGGGGCTCTCGTCGAGGCCAGCGGGGAATCATGGGAGTGATTTTCGCTGATACTCCACCCTGCTTCCGCCATGTTTGCTTTTTCCTGACATCATGGGCACTAAAGTGTGTAGTTGGATTTTTATTTCACCCTTCCTCCCCATCCTGCCTACCTGTCCAAAGTGCACAGTGATTGGCCGGTGGTCCTCCAGTGTTCGCAGAGGCCCCTCCCTCCTGACTGCGCCGCCTGTAGACGAGGTGAACCCGGCCGTGTTGTCGTCGTCGTCGATGGCTGCCGACCCCGTCGCTGGGAACCCGTTCTCTGCCTGCTCCTGTAGAGGGGGGACACAGGGGGGAGGAGGTTGACGTAGGCGAGAGGAGAGATGGTACCGCAGGGGGAGGGGGAAGGGGAGAGGGAGGGGGAGGGAGGCTGCACGTCTCGGCTACAGAGGTGTTTAAGGGGAGTTCAGGTCAGGAGAGAGTTTGAGGGGGTTTGTGAGTGAGAGCGTGAACTGTTACAGCTGCAGGTGCAGATTTTAATCTCCCACTCTAATGATCCAGTGTGTCCATGACAACAAAGTGTAATTCTCATCACATCAGAGGATTACTGGCCTCTGTGTAGAGCTCTGTACCTTCTGCTTCAGTCGACTCTTCACTTCCTTGATCCGCATTTTGGCGTGGTCCTTAGCCTGAAAACAAACAAAGATGGATCATTTTTATTTTCTGAACACACGATTCACTTTCTTAGAATCTTTATGAAGACATTTTGGGGTTCGAGGTCAAGAGGTCCAGGTTGAGTCTCAGCTTGCTCAACGTGCAGGTCTAAAACCTGTAGGTCTCATGTTGTCTGATATTTGAGTTTGGTGTGGAGATGAAGTGACAAAAACTAAAACTTCAAGTCAAAGCTTTGATGGGATCAGCTGTAGAACAAAATGTAAACAAACATTCCCCCGTGTAGTGGAGCCGTTCTTTTACAGAATAAAACAAGACTGTACTTACAAACTTGTAAGCGTTCTTCATGGCCGGGTTTGCCCTGGTCTTCACCGTGTTGAAGATGGCTCCGCCCCCTTTCTGTCAGAAGACATTCACAATAAATCAGTTTGTAAAAAATCTCTGCACACACGTGTATCACCATCAGTTATTGGTTTGCTCTTAAACAGCAGCAGGACAAACTTTGAAAGAGCATGATTAAAGGTCAAAGGTTACCGGCCCTCGCTCTCTGTAACCCTGGGCGACTTAAACAGCAGCTCACCTTCACTGTGAAGAGCCACTGGTGGTAGGTCTTATCACTGCCTGTAGGGGGCGACAAAACAAGATCAAGTTAGCAGCATCATGTTATAAACACGCTGAGGACAAGAAGTAATGTCGGGTAAATCTAGAAACATTTGAAGACACACTGCGGTGTGTGCATCCTTGACATTCTGGGACTAAAGGTGTGTTCACTGCGTCCAGAACGATCACATAAAATCACCAGAGAGCGGCCTCACCTGCGTACTCTCCCATGTTGATCTCATCCTCAAAGATGTCGCTGAAACCTTCGCCTGCGTTCAACAAGTCCAACCGACCGTCAATGAACTGCAGGAGGAAACAAAACCACGAGTGAAGGGTAGGGTGAGATCAAGAGTGTGTGTGTGTGTGTGTGTGTGTGTGTGTGTGTGTGTGTGTGTGTGTGTGTGTGTGTGTACCTGTTTAAAGAGCTGCAGCTGGATGGCATTCAGCAGAAACTGTCTCATGGCACTGGAACGATGGTTCACAAACGTGTCTTCATTGAACGTGATCGGCTCTCCCTGAAAATTCAAGAAAACACAACGACTGTCACAAAAACAACAACAACAACCACAACACGTTGTCTTTATGTTTAGGGTCCAGTGAAATTCCTCTTCACACCCAAAGTGTCACACCTCGAGTCAGTTTTTTACCTGTTTGTTATTATTATTATTCACCATCTTCTTAATTTGCTCAAAGAGTCAGAGAAATTAAACTCTGCACGAAAACTTATGTTATGAATTATGTTTTTTTGAAAGGATGCAGGTCCCCAATAAGCCAGATGGTGTCGCTTTTATGAAAGGCAGGGTTGGTAGTTTTCGAAAAACTAGCATGATTTCGAAAGTAGCATTCCCTCGGTGCGCCCTCTAAAGCCACGCCCCCTCACCTACATAAACAAAGCACCGTTGCTCCAGAGGCTGACCTCAGCTCATCTCTTGCATTGCATAGAAACTACGTCGTCTCATGTCTCATTCAGCGATGAGAAAACGCACAGTGTAAACTCTGTCATCAATGGCGTGCTTTGAGTGTGGGCTAGAGTACGCAAGAGGTAGAGAGCGAGCAGGGAGACAGGGAGGCGTCTGATTGGTTCATCAGATTGGTATCTCGTAGCAGACATTGGTCAAAGTTTTTACAGACTTACTACTGATACAGATGATGGATTTTCTTTCTTTATTCCCTTTTCAGAGAACATGAATTATTAATTTCTGTCAGGACCTAAAGACAATTTCAACCAAAATCTTAAAAAGTGGATCTGGAGGAAACTACCAACCCTGCTCTTAAGTGCTCATTTGATATGTCAACCCCAATTTAACGAGGTAGAAGTGATTAACTTCAATCTCAATCATTAGTTTCATATTGACAGGAGCGAGGTGCTGTTAAAGTGGGTTTTAAGTTTTTATTTTTGTTTAACAGCACTTCTTTTTATTTTTATTGTCCACCAAAACAAGCAACAAAAAAGCAGGAGTCGCAGATTCACACTGATGAGAAAGAAATGAACTTATAACCTCATTCTTGTTCCGTTCATCACATTTGTCTCCTGTGCACAGTTTGTACTGACCGGTTCGATCTGCAGAGCGTTCCTGTAGCTGCCGAACAAAGCTGCCTGACTCTTCAGGAACGCCCGAGCTACACCGTCTCCCGTTGTCGTGGAAACCTTCTTCAAACGACTTTTTAGAGATGAAACCTGCAGGATGTAGACGCACAGTCTTTAGAAACAATAAAGTTCAAACTGGACCGTTTCCTTTAAGACTTAACGGTTACTGCGCTGCAGCGTCTCACCACGTCGTTGGGCAGACTCTGGAGGTCGTCGTACGGGGTTTCCAGGGTGTTTGTGTCCACATTCAGGACCACCACATCATCCAGAGCCATCCCTCGGACTTTCTAAGAGCAGCAGACAAAAGAAGCATTTCAGTACCAGCTGAAGCAGAGTCAAAACGTCTGCTCCGGCTACAGACACCTACCTCCATCAGGCTGGAATGCACTCCGATGAGGTAGGGCATGGGGGCACTGAGACAGGAGACAGTTTCAGAGTTACAACATCTGTTCCAAACATAACAGCTGTTTATTCCACTTCAACACAGCAGAGGTCAGATGGGCCTCTTCAGCTTCACCCAGCAGAAAATCATCCTACTCTTCAAACAAAGGTCTTGAAATGTTGAGTATAAACTTCAAGCTGCATGTGCATGACGGTTTTAATGACAGAGAGTTTTTAAAGCCTAAATGTTACTGGGCGATCAAGGAAAGCGCACTGTTTGATTTATGCCCATATTTGGGCGTTGGGCTTGCTACTTAATATATGAATTTCACACGGGACAAATAAGACCTGGAGTCTTTCAGTTTTCCTCACAGGAGCTCCAAAGGGAAGACCTGAGGGTCAAAGGTCAAACTCACTTTGAATAGGGGGATTTGAGCAGACCAGTATGGACTTAATGCCTTGACACACGAGCAGAACTAGTCGCTGACTGTGGCGTCGCCTCACGTCGCCTTTTGTCTTGGTCAAAAAGTTGCACTTGAACACACCGCAAAGACTACAGCCGACGGCCAACCACCACGTATGTTCTGCACATGCGTGAGAGGAAATAACTCTCCATGCCAGCAGGCGGCGGTAGTCTGTAATCGTCATTTCAAAAAGGAGAAACAGGACGAGGACGAGGACGGAGAAGAATGAGGATAAATAAACCGTTATGATAAGAGAAGACCATTTTTACACCGCTATAGGTACTACTAATCGAGAATAACGTCTGATAAAAAGTTGAAACTTGCTTTCTCTTTCTTGTTTAGTTCTCATGCACTGATTCGCTTAGCTGAACAGCCAATCAAGAGTGATTCCTTGAAATAAGCGACGGAGCTGGACACACTGCAAAAACTAGGGTGCCGGTCTCCTCGGTGTGTCAGGGCCTTTAGCTCTCCTCAGGACCGGCTGGTTGTAAATGTTCAGACGCCGCAGTAGACCGACACCTCTCTGAGATTTTACAACTTGTTTACCAGCCTCTGACGTCTGTTCTTATTGGTCAACTTCAGGCTTCCAAACTATGCAACAATACAAAAGTTAAAAACAACATCTCAACGCTTTTTTGACTTTGAGGTTGTGCTACAGTCAGAATGGTCACCATGGTTACTCACCAGCAGTAGTCTAGCAGGTGTTGAGGCAGGACAGGAATGTAAACGTGTTGCCAGTGCATCGGATACATCATGGCTGCAGAGCCGTGGACACAAGCGGTTAACTGTGGATCAAATATATTGAAAATCAATAGTGACGTCACACAGCGTTAGATCTTTATCTTGACTTCTAAAACAGCATTTTCTCATATGTAGACATTAAACATGGATCAGGTTGTTTGACACTATTACAGATATTAAAGACTGCATTATTTAATTAATAAAACAGGAAGTCAGTGCATCATAAACGCAGATCATCAGAGAGCTCACAGACTGTCTGACCTGCTCATTAAGAAAAGACTTGCAGAGTTTTAGCAGACTTTATAAACAGGTGGTGGGTGGACTTACAGTGCTCAGTTTGCTACAGCAGATGAGGATTCGTCGTTCGTAAAGCATGCTGGCGTACAGGTGAAGCATGTTGTTGACGTCTACTGCTACAAAATACTCTGTTAGGTTTCTCTGCAGGCGTCAAAAACAAGAGAGAGAGGGACAGAGTCAGGGAGAAGGTAAAGAACAACTTAAGATTCAGTATCGATGATATGGACATGAAACTCAAGGAGCTCAGGGTGTTTGTTTGTAATATCTCTGGTGACAGCACTCACATTCTCAGGTATGCTGGGAAGTTCCCCTGTGTCGGGAACAGTGAAGAAGGAATGCTGCAGAAACACAAAAAAACACAACAGGATCAGTGTTTGTGAGCACAAGAGGAGGAGAGTCCCCTCAACGCTCAGGCAGCCTGTTTCTGCAGGGTCAGAATGAATTAAAGACATAATGGGTGTCACAAATAGTAACAGATCCTTTAAAGGTCACATATCCTCCTCTTCATCAGTGTAAATGAGTCTCAGAGCTCCTCAAAACATGTGTGTGAAGTTTCTTGTTCTAAATCCACTCTGATCCTGTATTTGATCATGTCTATAAGCCCCTCTATTTCAGCCCTGCTCAGAACAGGCTGTTTCTGTGTCTGTACCTTTAAATATGTAAATGAGCTGTGTCTGACCACGCCCCCTCTCTGGAAGGGCTTGGGTGTCTCTGGCTTTCTCGCCCCATGTCCTATTGTTTACGGTGAGAAGGCAGACTCACAGGGCAGAACAAACACCTAGCTGTGGGAGTGTCACCCACCTGGGGGAGGGGCTACTGCCCTTTGTGATGTCATAAAGGGAAATTCTGTAAAACGGCCTGTTTGAGTACACATCTTCTGAAAAGTGGAGCAGGCAAAAGACGGAGAGGATGGACTTTTCTCATCATTGGGTGGTTTGTAGACAGACCAGGGACACATATTAGAGTTAGAGGAACATGGTGAAGTGGATTATATATAATATGGGACCTTTAAAGCTACAAAGAGAGAGTACTTTTATGTAACAGTCTTTGTTTGCCCTGTAGGAACGAGCTGACGAGAATAACATTTGTTGATATTTCTTTGTTGTATGCTCGTACCTTCACAGGCTCAGTTTTGACTGTAAAGATAAATTCATGTCCATGCTGTGAGTCTTTCTGAATCTTCAGTGGAGTTTAGTTTCCTGTTCTTAAATCAGATCTCTGTTGGAGGTTGATGTGATATAAAGTCAGACTCACCACACCCAGATGAACGGGGACTCCGGGCTCGGGGATTGGAAGAGTGTGTAGAGACACCAGCAGCTCCTGCCAGTTACTCTCCTGAAACATTCAAACATTCAGGACAGGTGCACGGCTTATTTTATCTCATGAAACAAACTTAAAACTCCAACATCAAACAAGTTGACTGAAGGGCAAACATTAAAGAATTCAAAAAGATGACGTCATGTTTCTCTTGATACTGTAATGTTATAATGAGATGATAGTTTAGTTGGGACATAAAAACCCATTCAGAGGAGAGAGGAGAGAGGTGGGAGCGGGAGGGGGCTCAGGAGGACATGACAAAGCAGAAACAGAGTCAGAGTGTCTACATCTTTTTTTAAATTGTTTTCAATGAGGAGAGAGCGTTGGCTGCAGCAAGGGGCCGTGTGGAGAAAAGCTCAGCCCCCAGCATCTTTCTTTGTGAGAAAGTGTTCAAGAGTTTAGCGTAGGTCTGAAAAAAGCATTCGACTGATTTTACTGCCGTCTCTGTCATTTTCAGGTTTAAAGCTCGTTGTTGTTAACGTGCTGCTGATGTCCACTACAGAGGGAAATATGGAAACTAATTCAAACTGACTCAAGCTGCTCACCATCTGAAGCCAACTCAACAAACCAGTGAAAACAGGAACTTAAAAACAGGAAGTTTAAATTTAGCTCCAGAGAGACGACAGAGAGCCGCACATGAAGTGAAGAAAGTGACCAACAGATTTATGAATGAAGTCGATCAGCCCGATAGAATAATGATCAAAGCAGTAAAGATTTCAGATTAAATCACAGAGTAAAAGAGTGTTTGTAAAAGTATTTCTTCAGGAGTGTGACCTCCTCTGGCAAACAGGACGAGATGTGGCCGCGACACGACTCACCTGTCCTTTGATGGTGTAATCAGCGAGGATATTCAGCAGCTTGTAGAAGACTTCAAACCACGGCAGGTAGCTGAGCGAACACAGAGGGTTCCATTAGTTTACATACAGACTGTCCAGGGTCTTAAAACCTGCATTCTCTCCAACAGCCAGCAGGGGGCGACACTGGTTGCAAAAAGCAGTCGATGATGCTGCCTCTCAGTTCATTTATTCCTTCAGGGAACATTAACGAGTTTATGTTCCAAATCTCAAGTTTCAGTTCTTCTCCCACACAGCGTGATGTTCATTTAGTCATTTATGGTCGTGTTAAGATCACCGACTGTATGAATAACGGACAGAGGAACATCTGGTCACAAGTAGAAACAGAAGACTTAGAGAGCTCCCCCTGCTGAGTGGCTGCAGTATAGGTCTTAAACCCCGCGTCCTCCATGTTACAGTAAGATGGGACATGGATAATTTTCCTCAAACCTGATTTCGTCGTTTGATGCTATTCAATGGTATTAAAAGAGTAAAGCGTAACCAACACAAACACAAGACTTCTTGAACTTTCCATTACTGTGAGTGTCTGCCTCACATTTAAGTAACTGTGGTGAACAACTAATATTTGATCGTGTACTAGGACCCAATCTATGGATAATAAATGACTAACGGACGACTTACAGGAGCGAACATTGCACACACACACGCACACGCACACACACACACACTGACCTGAGGATGCAGTAGCAGGTGTGAGCCCCCGAAGAGAGACGACAAAAACCAAATCTCTGTTTGCTCTCGATGTCCGTCAACACAAACGTGAAGTTCTGCCCCACCTGGTTCACCGTCAGGCTGCAGCGAGACAAAGAGAGGCGGATAAGGAGACACACACAGACACACAGACCAACCGACACGATTACAAAGTAAGTTTAATCTGTGCAGAAAGAAATCTATTTAACGAGGATCTGCAGCTTTTAAGTGAGTCCAGAACTAAACAAAAACTGGTTTTATTTCAGCATTAAGTAGATCCTGGGACAAAATGTTTGTGTATCCCAAAGTTTTCGGGGGGGGGGGGGGGGGATGTGTGTAGCTGGTTGTGCATCTGTGTGAGAGTGTGTGTGTGTGTGTGTGTGTGTGTGTGTGTGTGTGTGTGTGTAGGTGGTTGTGTATCTGTGTGTCTGTGTGAGTGTGTGTGAGTGTGTGTGTGTGTGTGTGTGTGTGTAGGTGGTTGTGTATCTGTGTGTCTGTGTGAGTGTGTGTGAGTGTGTGTGTGTGTGTGTAGGTGGTTGTGTATCTGTGTGTCTGTGCCTACCTGTCCATGCTGAAGGGGAAGCAGAATTTGGGCACCGTGTTCAGAGTTTCCTGTCAGTAAACAGAAGCACACAGTCATTACATTAGGCTTAGTTTGTGATCTCTATTTATAAATATAAATCTGCTATTACATTAAAAACTTTCATCTTATACCCCCCCCAACCATATTAGTCCTGCTTCTATCATATTGGATCAAATATACTTTATCATCCCCAAAGGGAAATTTGTCATACAAAACACAACAATTCCACTTAAACATAAGAAACACCGTCCTGCAGCGCCGACTTATCGACATATAGCACGCCCCTCTTGGCACATTGTCCTACATTAAACTGTTATTCAGAATATTAACGACATCATGTCGAGTTGAGTCATGTTACAAGCAAAAAAAGACATTATCAGCCTTATGAGTAAGATTACAACAAACGATACACATCATAGAAAGCAATGGAACAAATAAAAGAAAAGCTGTTTGATCTGAATATCAGACCTGATCAGTGTAATCTGCAGGATACTGTCTCCTCACCTCCGGTCCTGTGAGAGAGAGGACACACACACACACACACACACACACACACACACACACACACACACACACACACACACACACACACACACACACACACACACACACACACACACACACACACACACACACACACACACACACACACACACACACACACACACACACACACACACACACACACGATATGGAGTGAGCTAAAGAACTCAAAGAGTCTGAGTGTTGATGGTATAACAGGAGCAGGGTGAGACTCTGTGTGAAGAGTGTGCAGCATGTGTTGGTCATATGTTTGACCTTTGACCTCCATGTTTCTACAGGTGTTTTTTATTATACATGCTTCTGTACATGTGGCTTCATATCCTCTCCCTCTCTCCCTGACTCTGTTTTTATTGCTACTGCAGCTGAACTGATCGCCCCCCGAGGACCAATCAAAGTCTGAACTTAACCTCCCAGAGGTTTTATGACCACATCATAAACCAGCACATGTTGGAGCCCATAATTGAATGGTTATGTAAACGCCTCGTTATGTTTTCTTAATGTGCCGTTTTATTTAAAGGTGGATGCACAAGATTAAACAACAGCTCTGAGGTTTAAAAAGATGCAGATCATGTTCTTCAGTCATTCAGTCATTGCAATAGTTGGACGGTTGATGCACGCGCCACATGTACAGAGGTCCACGAGGGGGGACATCCCCGGGATTGTGTCCGCCCTGTGGCACCTTTTCTGCAGGTCAGCCCCCCCCCCCCTCCTGTCTCTAAAATAAAAACCTAAAAAGCCCCAAAAATACGATCTTGATGGCTTGCTGTAAATGTGTGACACTAAAAAAAAAAAAAAAAAAAAGGTCGGTTTGCACGCGTTCATGTTCGTGACACGTTCTGAGAGATAGGGCATCTTTGAGACTGAACAGGAAGTGATGCGAGGAACGAGACTCCAACAGGAGGAAATTCTTAGAAACAAGCCGACTGCTCAGAAACCAGGAAGTCTGATTAGTCACAAACGGCAGATTAAAAAAAAAAGGAACCTGATGCAGACCGGACAGATCAGGATTTCAAAATCTAAATAAGTCGTGAGTGACTCAGAGTTTCCTTTAATGTGTTAAAGATGCAAACATATAAAATCAGTGTACATTAAACAGACACTAACTTTATCCCGAGGTCTTTGCTCTTACAAATGTTCCCCGTTTGATTCACTAAACTCTGCAGCTCAAACTCGTCGTGCGCTTCGTTTGCTTCTGTCTGATTCATGACACCAGTGAAGTCCATGAGTAGCTTTGGGCTGTCACGATACCAGAACTTCAATATGATACGAGTAAGAAAACAAAACAAATGAAACCACAGCAACACAAAAAGAAGTCGAGTAATTTCTCGGTTTCAATGAGCATGTGATCTCTACTAAGCGCTGAAATGTTGCAGATGTGAGACATGAACAGAACTTCAGCATCTTCATGGGGCGCTGAAAGGACTTGACAGTCAATCTGTCGACCTGAGACTTTGACTGGACCCCTGCTGGCCTCTCTTTAGGCTGCGACAGAACCCATTCAAATGAAATCAGAGCAACCTTAGTTGATCATGTCATCAACCATGGGCTGACAATGTGAGAGGCTGGACAGAGAGCAGCCCAACTCGAGCCGTTTTACTGTACTGGTATATGTTGCACTGACTTGTTTGGTGAAAAATAAAAAAATTAATGTTTCAACAGCATGTGTGTGTGTCTGCAAATATTTCTGTGCATGTGAACAATCTGAAGAATTTTCTACTCCAACACTTCTATCACTGAGGGTTTGACTTGTGTTGAGGAAACACGCTCACTAAGACGGGAAGGTGAGAACGATCAAAGCGGACTAATCTGAGATAACTAAGCGGTGGCGCTGACAGTCCGTCGTTATCTTATGAAGTATTTTTGTACATCAGGAATCACAAAACGTGTGCAGCCTCTCAGTCAGCAGGATGTGAGAAAATCATGTGATGTGAGATAACATTTTGCAATATTGCTCAATTTGAATAACGCAAAATACGCAAAAATAAAGAGTGCATCTTTGATCATCTGCTGTTCTCACAACATTTAAAAGCAAACACAACCTTTTCAGAACAGAAGAGATGAATGTAGTCCAGCCTCACACACTTACCTGAGGTGTGTATTCCTGGTTGTGAGACCTCCAGGAAGACCTCATACGTGGACTCGGGGCTCTCCCTGCAACACAGGAGGAGAACTTATATGTTCTGTGCATGTTAAAGGGGGAATATTCTGAAAAATCCACTTCTACAGTGTTTTTGAACATATATTTGGGTAACCTGAGTGTCTACAGACCCACAAAATGTGAAATAAACCCATCCAGTCCTTTGTTTGTGGTCTGCATAAGTCTTACAACACAGAGAAAAATGCTCTGTTTCAAATGTGCTCTCCTTGTGATGTCACAGTGGGATACCCTCCCCTCCCCTGGTATCTCCACCCATGGACTCCACCCCCAGCCTAGAACAAAACATTAACGCAGGTCGGCCATTTTTATTCTCTCTACAGAGGAGTGATGTCTACGGGGAAACTCAGGGGGGGCTCGTTGCATTTAAAGAGACACACACACCAAAACAGAGCGTTCTGAGAGAGCTGGTTTATACAGGGTCACAAACCTCCTCTGGTGCTTGATTCATGTTATATTCTGACCAAAGCACAGATGTTTCATTTAGAGCACAGGGGACTGTTTGAAAAGGTGGAGAAGGGGGAGAATATGTCCTCTTTAAGAAACAAAAAACAGGGGAGCACATTCACCAAAGGAATGCAGCCTTTCACTCATCTGGAAATGTACAATAAATGTGTTTTTTCCTTACATATTTATTTTGCGCTTTGAGTTTTTCTGTGTTTGATTTTGAGTGACGCTGAGACTAAGCTGCAGATATCCTTAAACATGGCCGACTCATTTCAGGGGCCGCCAGGGACCTGTTGAGTTGCAGCTCAGACTTTGTCTTTAAGTCCAAAGCGAAGATTTTACAGAAGAAAAGCCCCCCGGTGTGTGGTGGTATCAGGGTTGTTAAACTCTCTGACTTCACAGAGGATAAAAGCTCTCTGTTTTCAGGGAAGCTATCACCGTGTTCTCAGTCATCGTCAGGATGTCTGAGGAGTGAGGACACTCTTAATGTGATCATCAGAACACACACCAACAAAGAAAATGATTGTTTTTCAAAACAAGCGCTTTAAGCCAGTATTAACCAGTGTAACCAAAACAGTAAAAAAATCACAGTTTTCAAAACACATCATCCACAGAAGAGAAAACATAATGACGTTTGGAACCATCTTTGAATGCTACACCCACAGAACGGACACCGTTAATCAAACTAATCTTTCAATGCTCTAAACCAGCGCTTCTCAACTCGTCTGGCCTCAGGACCAAACTCCAACTCCTCAGCGAAAAAAACTTGACCCAAATTTCTGATAGATTTATTATCTATTAATGAATAATAATTTAATTTCTGCTAGTGGAGCTTATTAGAAACATGCAGAGGCTTTTTAGGTCGGGTACAATCACTTCTATCTGAACCACTCGCTTCCATCACTGCAACATCTGTTGGTTTGACCTGATAACTGCTCTCATATCTGGCAAACCGGGGAGCGTCCAAAACGGCCGTGTGGGTGTGGCCTTAAAACCGCCTACCTTCTCTGGTTACTGGCTGCTGCATTGTTGTCAGAGAAGCCAGCACTTCAACATAGCATGTTTCCTTAATGTCTGATCATACAGTAAGCTCACTTCATCATTTCACTCACTACACATCTCACTGATTGACCTTTAAACACTTGTGAGCTGACAAACAGTCTGTTAGTATGTTCTCTACACATTCACCTTGTTTCAAAGTCTGATTGCTCTTCCCTGTAACACATACAAAGGTTTAACTCTCAGGATGTGTAATAACATGTGTAGTTAAACCGTCCGTCTGCAGATCAGTGTAGGATCATCAAAGCACCATGTTCAGTTTTACTGTGAAGGTGAGGATGTGTCAATAATTTCCCTCCAGCTCAAACAGCTCACTCCCAAAAGGTACACCATGAAAACAAGTGATTAAATATGTCTCACTGTGCCAGATGAGTCATCTCCTTAATACAATATTTACAGTATATCAGAGGAGAGACGTCAGGATGCAGGAGTGGTCCCCAACCTTCTTGCTGGCTCGTGGCCCCACTTTGACATCACAAACCTCTGGTGACCCCCAGACATCCAAAAGGCAGACAGTTTTTTGCTCACATTATTCAATCAGGTCATAGTAGATGCAGTAAACGTTCATTTTTAGAGCACATTTAGGCTTAATTGTGGAGAGAGGAAGAAAGGCTGGGAGGAGATTTCTGCACAATGGATGACAGACAGAGACCCTGCAAGCTCCTTGTTTTGGCTATGGCTCACATTGTCTTGTGTTCAATAATACACATTACATTTGTTATTGATCAGTAATCACACGTTTCAGGCGACCACAAATGGGGTCGGGAGCCCAAGGTTGGGACAGCCACAGGAAAACAAACCCAGCTTTAGCCTGAAAACCAACATCCTGTTTGAGAACAATCTGGCCCCGTTACCATGTTTACATTAGCTTCCTGTGTTCATCTGTGTCGCTGCCTTAATGCTAGCTGAATGCTAACGTGTTTTAACGCGTTGTTTTTGTCGTCTCTGCTCCGTTAAGTTGAACAGCAGCAGCATTGGTGTGTTTTTATTCTGCCTGTCGCAACAAGTCCGGGCCTCACACTGGGCTCTATCTCCCCGTGTCACTAACACAGCGCTCTTAGCAGCAGGAGGCTAACAGGGTCAGGAGAAAGCAGCGGATTATCGGTCTTACTTGATTCGGGACCCCATCCTTGTTTGTCACCCCGCCGCGGTATGTCTGCCTGCGGCGGATGTCAGTGCGCAGACGCGTCCGTCCGGAGGTGTTCGGTGATGCTAACCTGTCACACAGAGCTACACAGCGCCATGGTCCGTCTGCTCTACGTCACACGCGTAGATCACGTGCTGCCTCGCGAGGAACGCCGGGACTTGTAGTTCTATTGTGAACAAACAAAACAATACCCATTGAACGAGCTCCGCGATGGAAACTACAACTCCCACAGTGCATATCGGAGACGACGATTGAGTCTCGTGATAAGAAGACGAAAAAGTTACCGTTATGTACCTTACCTGTGACAGTTATAAACTCAGGGATTTACTGAGATTTTTCAATGTTTAAATCCTGTTTTACTACGAATTAAATTACATGTACAAATTAAATATATGAACATTCACATATTATACTGGTGAGTAAAATCAATTCCCACGTTTACAACTCCATGGGAACGGATAACAAACCATTTGTAAACCGTGCTCTGATTTAATAAACACCTTTTTTCATACCTGAAACCTCGGAGGCTCTGGATTGTAGGCTTAGCGCTTTAACACGGTTGTTTAGTTTCCCCCATACATGTTTTCTGAATACAAATAGAATTTTTAAACACGTTAAGCCACAATGATGAATTAACTATTTTAAAAAATGTATAAAATTAGCCTATCAAAAGCAAATACTTTTATAGAGCATTAAAGTAGAATAAAATACGAAACAATAAATAAAAAAATAGAATAGTGCACGTAGGTTATAAATGCTGCAAGGCAAAGTAATTATAGGTTGTATATATATTTATATATTTATGTATTTAAAGCAAGTAAATTTGAAGTGCTTCACATGGAGACATTTACAATTAATTTAAAAAACTCACTAACAATTAGACGTGGGGAAAACATTGTTGTATGTAAAAATAGAAATTCTTAGTTTATGTGATTTTAAATCGATTCATAACTTCCAAAAATCGAATCCTGCTTAGTGCAAAGGCCTAAGCCCTACTAACAATCACAGAGACTATTAAATATGAAATATATTCAAATATATAATCCACGAGAATACAGAAATATGTCAATAATATATGTACATATTTGCATATTGAAGATAACAGCAAATTTTGCTCTCTTTATTGAAGTTAATAAGTTCCTATAGTTGTATTTTGGGTTGCAGACAAAGTCCGGAGACATAGTCCTCAATAAGATATGTGATATGATTAAGAGATGAAAATGTTTTTCAGGGCTTTACACTTCAAAAAGAGCCTGAGGAAGATCTTTTGGATTGAGACACTCCCCTGTTTAAAAGAAAGTCTACAATCTTTACTAATCCGGATGGAGAACTTTAAATAGGGTGAATTACCTAATGTGGGACAATTGCATTGCATTTTAGACTTCTGGGATGTATTGCAACATGAAGCTATACATTAAATCCACACCCAGTACCACTGTGAAATCCCAGGATGTCCCCTAATCAAACCCAAAGAGAAAATCCAGTAATCACACTCATTAAAGAAATAGTATACATATCACTAGTCTTAGTGCCAAATTGTCTCGGACAATCTGCATTTCCTAATGTGGGACAGTGCTGTTCTAAATGTGGGACACTGAAAAGTCCATGTTAAAAGCCTAAAGACATCACAACTTGTGTTAACCCTTAGTTTTATTGACTTTCATTTGTTGTAGGAAGACCTACACCCACTTGAGCAGGTGTCCCACATTAGGCAGTGTCCCACATTTGGCTAATTCACCATATCTGATTTAAAAATTAAAACACAGAAAAAAGTTTGTTTCATACAGTTTGTGTCACATTTGTAAACGCTCCCCTATCATGTTTCATTAAACAATAGAGTCCTCCCACATGTGAGGAAGAGAGAGAGGGGGTGAGAGAGAGAGGGGGGAGAGAGGGGGGGAGAGAGAGAGAGAGATGTGACGTTTGACCCACTTTCCAACCAACACTTGTGGCAGCCTCACCACAACTTCACTCTGCAGAGGTTTCACTCTTTGAAGTATCCCTCCTCTCATTCAGCCCGCGTGGCAGCAAACCACAGACAGAGAGAGAGAGAGAGAGAGAGAGAGAGAGAGAGAGAAAGAGAGAGAGGGGGGTGACACTGGGGGAGGAAGGGGCTCTGTGCGTCGCTGTGTGGAGTTGCTCAACAACAGGGATCGATGTAACTCGCGGAAACTGATCCCCTTTCAAAACAGTTGCAGGACGTTATTGACTCCTCTGCAGGTAAGAGACACGAGCGCTCATTGTGAAGAAGTGTCCGTGGTGCGTTCAAAGACATGCGGAGTTTGTGCATGATTCAGCTTTGTTGACATGTATCTCTGTGTGAGCTCGTATGGACTGAAGCTCAATGTGTTTACTGCTTAGCACGTAGAGCCAGATAAACTGTTAGAGAGAGAGAGAGAGAGACATATGGAAATGATATTTACCCGCTGCATGCGGCTCGGGACGGAAACGAGGCTGCACTGATTCCTGCTTTATGTTTTTATATTCGCAGTGTGAAACAAAGAGCTCCATAGTGGAAGAGAGGTAGACGTTTATTTAAAAAAAAAAACAGCTCAACATTGGAGTGACATTTAACTCCAGCTGTTCACTGTGTCACAGTGTCAGTGGCGGTTCTAGACCACGTTTACTGAGGGGGCCAAACTGGGGCCAGTTGTTTTCTCAGAGGGGAACATTAAACCCAGGTGAAAAATAGACAAAGATGATCACTTTAAAAAATGTATATTATGCCAAATAATAGCACGTATCATTAAATACCATGATTCATATTTGTCCGGTTGTTGAGTCAAATACTGTGTATGTGTTATGAGGGGGGTTCTTCCTTTTGGAGGGGGGCCACAGGGGGGACCAAGCTCAGTGTTACAGGGGCACTGGCCCCTGTTGGCCCCTGCCTAGAAACGCCCATGCACAGTGTAAAGCTCGCTGCTGTTTATCACGGCATGAGACATTTATTCACTCCAAGTGGGGTATAAGTATTTAAAATCAGGACACTATAACATGTAACTTTCCCACCTTAAAACAGTCGTTTCAAAGGTCGATGTTATAGCACGATAACCTTCAACAGGGAGAGTGGCGTCTCTCTCTAGTCCACCGAGTGGCCCAATCACCCGTTTACCGCAGGATGTAACTCTCTACAACACTCGTTCACCTCAGATAGAAATTAAGCCACGCCCCCTCTGTGCTGTTCCTCTTTGCCAGCTTTATGGTGCATTCATTTGACCTCAGAATTCAGATCTGGGGAATGACGTCACACCCAAGCTAAACGTGTTCCAGTTGCAAGTTGGACAAGCAACATGGAGAACCTTTGTTTTGTTAGCTAATACCCGACGATAACACACGGCGTGATAGCTTGCGTGCAAAAATAACACGACAACATGTCAACAGATAGAACTACACAAAAGGAGGACTTAGCTGCTGATAAACATGACAGTTACAGCTTAAATGTTACTGTTGATGCACGTAGCAGCCATGTTGGATTTCAGCTTGGACTGCTGAAGTTGCTCTGAGTTTCCAATTCCGCCTTCAGGGGAGCGTTTCTGATGGCGTGTCAGACCGGCAACTTTGAATCGCCGACTTTCTAGATGAAATGGAACACACCTTGACCCGTCTAAGATGAGGAGGCGTAACAGCTCTGTGTATTAAATGACAGTTGCACTCAGCGACCTTCGGTGGGTGCCAAATCGCACCTAACTGAATTCCTACATATTGTTTATTTAACATCTGTTGTTACTATGACAACTAGAGACGCATTCAGCTGAAATTCCCCGGTAAACACGGGCACTCTTTACACCATAACACCAGCAAAAAAACTCCTCTGTTCATCCTCCAAATTATCACACCTTTTTAAAACCGTCACCAAGACAACCGAGGACATGACGCCTACTCGGAGCTAGGTGTAAGATTTAAGGTGACACTTCTCGCTACTGAACTCCGCTCTGAATTAGACATTATTTGTGTAAAAGCAGTGTAAAAGCAGACCATGCCGTGTGTGTGTGTGTGTGTGTGTGTGTGTGTGTGTGTGTGTGTGTGTGTGTGTGTGTGTGTGTGTGTGTGTGTGAGAGTGTGAGAGTGTGTGTGTGCGTGTGCGTGTGCGTGTGCGTGTGCGAGTGCGAGTGCGAGTGCGAGTGCGAGTGCGAGTGCGAGTGCGAGTGTGTGTGTGTGTGTGGTGTGTGTGTGTGTGTGTGTGAGTGTGTGAGTGTGTGTGTGTGTGTGTGTGGGTGGGCGTGTTACGAGGATGCCTGGGCACACAAGGTCACATATCTGTCTAAAATTAGTCACGTGTCAGCGATGACAGGGAGCCAGTGTCCTGTGTGACTGGGGGGACTCGGGGGGGGGGGGGTACTGGGAGGACTGGGGGGACTGGTCGGTGCTGCTCTGACGTTCTTATCTGCAGTTTTATGTTTCCAGTTTCTCTGAAATGAAAAACAAACTTGCAGCTGAATTTGGTGGTCTGGTGAATTAATTAATGGATGTAAATTATTCTTCTTTGTTGGTTGTAAACTTTTTAATGGATGGATCATATGGATCTTTGTTGCTAACTTGAGGGGTTTAGTTTAACCCTAAAAGTCTTGACCTGATCTGAGGCTGATGGGATGAAGAGGCTGATGCAGAATGTGTTCGACTGGAGGATGGCTGATGACGTGATGATCTGTGAAGACTGAGGGAGGTGGAGGGTCGCATGTATCGACCGCATGAATGAACTGGAGGTAGAGGAAGCCATATTTTAAAAAGACAGCAGCTATATGATTGGCTAACAGGAGGGAGTGGAGCAGTGCTATCGGGCAGATGTGAACAGCTGACGATAACAGGAAACTGTGTGATAGCGTGGAGGAGTGCATGTGACCCCTTAGTGATCTGTTGGTTCTGTGTGGTCACAGACTGAATATGAGAAATGGACGTTACACCACCTGTTGCAATGTGAATCACAGTTTTGAATTTAACACCCTCGCCATCTTGGTTTAGGTGCCAGAAGTGACCATATATGGGGCTACCTGTGATTGATGACTTGTCAATCACATGTAGCCCCGCCCTAACTCCTCTCCTGCTTTCTGGTCTCTGTAGCTCTTTTCAGACTGCTCCCCTGTCATCACGTCTCATTTGGTGTAATATTTCGATGGCGTGATATTGGTGTCCCAGTCTGTGAAATCACACTGAGTTTGGGCGTGGCAGAAGCGCAAGAGAGCACGGCACAGCTGGAGCTCCACATACACCCATTCAGACATGCGCACACACACACACACACACACACACACACACACACAGCCTCTGTTACTACCTCTGAAGACTGTAAATTATTCTGCAACCATTAACATAACGAATAATAATAATATAAATTCCTGAGAGGATGACTAATGACCACAAGTGACTTCTTGATCCGTCCAGTGAAGAGACAGCTGTGTCATGTTGAGAAATTAAAACTGATCTGAAAGCTTCTAAAAGGAAGTAGAGAGAGTG